TTTTGCTTTTGATCGGTTTAAACAGTTTGACTTTTGAATTTCAAAGTTTATTTTTAAACGTTTTCTTCTTTGAGTCTTTTCGAACAGGTGCATTGATTTGCAGATACATCTCTTTGAAAGGATATTTCTATGTCCATTCGAGTGACTGTGAACAATTTATAAAAGGAGTATTGGTCAACCCAAAAAGACACATTAGTACACACAACATATCTTGCTCTCTCTGTCGAGTGTCAACTTTCTAAGCATCATTCTTGGTGGTTCACAAAAGTTTCGTAAGCGAGTGCACGCCTACTAGTGGCCTGTGGACTGTTTTATCTTAGCAACCAATTTACAATTACCCGACTACACTGTTGGAGACAAATAGGGTTTTAGGGAGAGTGACCAAATGGCATGACTCAACCCTCGTAATTTCTCTATTTCACAGTTCCACATGTTCTCAATTTGAAAAGCAATTACCGATAAGTTACATTCTATCTTTTTTATTGTTTACCAACAAATACAACTTGGGGATCCTTTTTCAGTTTTTCCATCTCTCATATCACATTGAATAAACTATAAAGGAGAGAACACTCAACAATATGGGCTGCAATCCATCCATGCTTTATGCCCTAATCGGTTTTGCTTGCATGCTTCAAGAATTTATAATTGGGCCTGGGCTCAATTTTCGCTTGGGTTTATGATAAGGCCATTGGTGAGTTGTGATTTGTGAGTAAGGGTGCAAGTTGGGTGGATTAGGCTTGGTTCAAGGTTACATTAGTCCCAATTCCAAGATTTGGGTCCAAATCCAGATTGAGTATGATCTTCCTTATATATGTATGGATGTGCATATGTAAATATGTAAACAAATGTGTGTGTGTGTGTGTATATATAGCGGGGCCCTATGGGATGCATAGGATGGGGCACTCCTCTTTGTCCCACACTCCTGTAGTCAAACACTCTACCCCATTCCTAGTCATTTTGGGCCAAAGGACCTACAACAAGTCACTCCCTTCATCGAACTGACCTCAACTCAGGAGTGGGGGGCAATTGATGAGAGAAGATTTGGCCCAAAATGACTAGTTTGATGAGCTCATAAGCATCAATCCAGTTTGCTCCCTAAGCCAGAAGAATCTAAGGGTTGAATGCGACATTACACAGGAATTTGCCATATTGACTATCGAGGCACAGGAGCAAACTCATCTACTCGAGGAGAGGCAGAGCAGGCACTCCGAAGACATCTACCATACTAGGGATGCAATCATCAAAGAGTTCTGCAATTCAGCCGAACACCACAAGAGCGAAGTTCATCATGCCATCTCAAGAGAAGCTTCAAACTATCTGACTACCTCTTCAGGTCTCTCCACTTACGTAGATTTCAATGCAATGTCCCTCAAGCCGGTCCTCGAAGGAGTAGCCGACAAGGTTGATGCGGAGCCTGAAACCTAGGTGGAGGACAATTGTAAAGATGTCGACCATGTTTGGATGTATTCTAAGGTGTTGGAAGCAAACTAAATTTCATTTCCTTTGTTTCTCCGTTTTCTTTATCAGGTTGGCGTTGAGATATCGACGTCCTTTAATAGCAATTTAAGTGTAGTAGTGGCACAGTCAAAACGCTGCCAAGCTAGATAGATGGGGGTCGACTTGCATAGGTCGGCCTACTTGTTGCCGACGTGTTTAGAGGTCGGCTTAGGGGGCCTTGATGCTAAAAGCAATTTATTTTCCCCCTTAGAGTTCGATTTGACCAGGTTGCTAAAGCGATTACTCATAATTTCAACCGTCAAAATGATGTCGAGCTGTTGAACTACCAATGTATCCCAAGGTCGATGTAGGGGGCCTTAGCTAAAATCAATTTGGCTTCCATTTAGTAAATTTTCGCTTACATGTGTGTACTGCGAGTTAGCTTGTCCAGGTCATCAAAGTGGGCCTCAATTAGGCCACCGAAATTTTAATATGCTAGTTTGCTCTTAACACCTCAGCCTACAGACACCTCGTCACCTTGGTAGGGCTAACCTGCAAGGGTGGTTCCATAGTCTACTAACCATCAACTCCGACGGGGACCATAGAGGTCTCGACCTACAGGGCAGCCTCACCTTCTGTTGGTCGTCAACTCCCACAGGAACATGGAGAGCTCAACCTGTGAGGGCAGTCTCACAGTCTATTAGTCATCAATTCTTGTAGAGAGCATGTAGGGATCGATCTGCGTGGGCAGCCTCACAGTCAGGGCTGGGAGATTTTGTCTAGGCAAGACTACTGGAACTTGTCTAGGCTGATCATTCTAATTCTGCTCCCTTGTGATAGCACCGTCGATATGTGCATCGTTGTTGGTGTTAAATGGCAGGTCGGCGCCATGGTTACACTGTTTCAGCCTTCAAGTCAGTGCCATGGCGGGTCCTTGCATTAGCACTCTACTAACATCATGACACATGGCATATCAAAATAGTTGGATGACACCTCAACACCATATAGGTGATGACTTGCATTAGCCAAAATGATGGAGTCTCAGCTGGCGACCTACCTCCACTGGCTTGGTGACCTGCCTCCGCCAACCAACTAAAGAACTAATAATCTACCTCCGCCAGCCTAATGGAGACCTAGCTGGAAACCTACCTCCGCCGACCTAAAGGAGCCTAGCTGGTGACTAGACCGGTACATGGGCCGAGCCGGGTTGGGCTCGGGCCAGGCTTTTATTCTTTATTAACAGAAAAATGTTAGGCCCGAGCCCGAGCCCGGCTCGACCAACGGGCCAACAACTTGGGCCCGAGCATGGCCTTGATAAAAAGCCTGAAGCCCGAGCTCAAAGCCTGCCCTAATAAAAGAAATTCGAATTTTTCCCTATTCAAATGGACATTATCTATTTTAATTCAGATATTTTTCCCCTATTTAACTGAACAATAGGCCTACAAATGAATCAACAACCTTCTTAAATCAAAAAAATTATTCAAATGGACATCACATAGGGTTTTTACTTAGGTTTAACTATAGGTCAGGCTATTTTGGCAAAGCCCGAGCCCGGCTCGAATTTTATGTGGGCCAGGCCTTTTGGCCCGAGGTTAAGCCCACAGGCCAAAAAGCCTTTTCAAGCTCGTCCGGGGGCCGGCCCGGCCCGGCCCGTCGGGCCACCCGACCCATGAACAGGTCTACTAGCGACCTACCTCCGCCGACCAAGTGGAGCCTAACTGGCGACCTACCTCCGTCGACCTAATGGAGACCCAACTAACGACCTACCTTCGCCGACCTAGTGGAGCCTAACTGGCAACCTACCTCCGTCCACTGACCCAACGACCTACTTCTAGAGACTTGGTGACCTACCTCCACTAATTTGGCAACTTATCTCCAAAGACCTAGCGACCTAGCGACCTACCTCCGTCGACCTACTAGAGAATTGGAGACTTACCTCCATCGACCTAATGGAAACTGATGTGACTGTTTCTGGTCACGTACCAATTTTTGTGGTGTATCAATTTTTTTTTGGCTAAGTACCTCGTCATTTGACCTGCTCCCAGGAGAGGATGGTGGAGCTCCCTGATGGTGAAGTGCCTGGTGATGAGCTCCCTGGTGGTGAGCTACCTGGTGACAAGCTCCTTGGTGATGAGCTCCTTGGTGGTGAGCTCCTTGGTGGTGAGCTTCCTGGTGACGAGCTCCCTGGTGACAAGCTCCTTGGTGGTGAGCTACCTGGTGATGAGCTCCCTGGTGGTGAGCTACTTGGTGACGAGCTCTCTGGTGACGAGCTCCCTGGTGGTGAGCTACATGGATGGACTCGTCATTTGACATGCTCCTAGGCGGCCTGTAACTCAGAGGGTGGTGGAGCTTCCTGGTGTAGCGCAACCCGACTGACCTATGCATGAGGTGATCTCCTCTCCTTTGTAGGCGGCGGGAGCTGAGAGACCTACGAGAACTCCATCTTTTCCTCCTCTTTGTAGGCGGTAGGAATTGAGGAATCTGCCAGAACTGAATCAGAGGACCCGAGGGTATTTACCCGGCAAAGACTCTCCGATGCCTAAGTTAGCATTTTGATTGCAGAGAGCTTGGAGAGAAATGAGAGAGCTAGAGAGCAAGGATTACCTCCATTTTTCCATTCTCTCCCCCCTTGTCTTTGGGGGTCGGAGTCCTTATATAGCAGTGTCTAGTCAAATTAGCCATTACTGACAGAGCTGAAGTGGCGGGTGCAGGCAGCTATTGCAGGGTACGGCTCTGCCAGGCAAGGGACAGCTCTCAGGGCTGGCAGGCACGGCGCCGCCTGGCGAAAGACATGGGCGCAGGTGTCAGGTACGGTTGTCAGGCAGGAGATCTTCCTGCGATACGCCGAGCTGCCCCTAAGTGGTGAGCTACCTATGCCGAGCTACCTATAAGTGTCGAGCTCTTTGTAAGACGCCAGACAGCCTGTGGAGTGGTCAGTTGCCTATGTCGAGCTGCCCCTAAGTGGTGAGCTACCTATGCTGAGCTGCCTGTAGGTGCCGAGCTGCCCCTAAGTGGCAAGTTCTTTGTAAGACGCCAGGCTGCTTGTAAGTGTCGAGCTGCCCCTAAGTGGCAAGCTCTTCGTAAGACGCTAGGCTGCCTGTAGAGTGGCCTAGCTAGTTGTCAAGAGACTGCACTTCATTGGCATGAGGTGCCAGGTGTCATATTTTCACTAGAGGGCCAAATCCACCCTCATCAGAAACCTATTTGGTGACTTCATACACAACTCGAGAAACTCGACAGAGCAGCTAGCAACACCTCATCCAAGGTCGGCTTATAGTACCTCTTTGTTTCTGATCCAAGGGACCTCAACATGAGGAGCGACATCCTCGAGGACCTTGCTGACCTGACTGAGGTCCAAGTGGCAACCTACGAGATGTGCTCGCCAAAATCTTCCTTTAACAAGTTATTGTTTCTAAATTCTCTAGGTACACAACTCTTGACCGTTACACCTGTTTTTCCATATCATTCACATCATAGTTGATTGAACAAACTCTATCCCTCTCCTGCGAATATGACGGATGTGGTTTCCCAAGAATCTCGAACATATTACAAGAAGCTCCTGATTCCTTATGCTTATATAAAAGTCTCATTTCCAACCTCAAAAGGTATGCATAATTTAGTTCTCGTAGCTCTCTAGCTTTTTCATTTTTAGTTCTCTTAAAAATCGCTAATTTGTTGACTTAAGTATCAGAATGCCCACCCTAGATAAAACAACCCAAACACTCTGACACTATCTCTTAACAAGCCACCCTAGTAGACTATATGACTCATCATTATTTAGTTCGACATTATTCAACTAAGCATCCGAATCACCTTCTAGCTCAGAATTGTCCAATTCGACATCCGTGTCATCTACTAGCAAGGAGCTGCCATATATATATGAATGTGTATAGTCAAGCTGAACTTGGTTGAGACAAGATTGGTCTAGGTTTGGGCTACCTTAGGGCAAGACCTAGGTCTAACTCGAAAAACAAAAAACCAACTTCTTGGATTCGAGCCTCTTAACATGATGATAAAAAATCCAAGCCCACCCATCTAAAATTTGGGGTTGGGTAAGTTCAAGCTTAGGTTTGACCTGCTCAAGTTTCACCCATGGAAGACGAACTAAATAACGAATTTTCACCTGCACCCCACAAGTGCCCCACAACACATCCTAACCGTGTATGAGAACATTTCCCGTACTTGCTATTGGGAGATTCTTTCAATACAAAGTTGGGATGTACTGTGGACACGTGGGGCACCCTCTATTAGGGCTGTCAATGGATTAGTTGTGGGTCGGAACTTGCCAGATGAATTCGGCTTCAGTCCAAGCACCTCCAGTCAAGACACCATTCACACATTGGGAAGACGCGTCACGCATCTCCGAATCGTGTGAAGGGCTAAAGCATGCGAGAGTTCACAACCATCCGCCCTCCTCTCCTCTCGCGTACAAGACATCTCTCCTCCTTCACTCTCTCCCCCATCCATCCAGCGACGACATTACAATTATCACCGCCGGCGATAAATAATCATCACCGGCGGAGGAACTATCCTAGCTTCAGCGATTTCAGACCTGGGCATCTCGAATTCAGCACCTCCAACGCGAGCCCGGATCTCCTGCCCACATTTATCGCAGCCACATGGAGAACATCTCACCCTCTGCATAGGGTTATGCAGGGGGAGATGTTCCCAATTCACGGGAGGTGGTGTATTGTGGGTAAATGTGGGCAGGAGATCCGGAGTCCTCCAACGCAGGCCCCGCATCCATGACATTGCGGCAAATGTCAAGGGTCAATTCTTCAAGCAAGGGAAGGACGGCAAAGAACTCCTCAAGAGCTGTTCGACTGATTCTCGCATCTTCTGCGGTGAACCCATCATCGTCTGGGTCGGGACGGGCACTGGAAAGGGAGGAGGGTGAGGCGGGGGCAGTGAGATGTAAGAGCCAGCAAGGCTTCGTCCCGACGAAATCCATGAACCTGAGATCGAAGACACAGGCGGCGAGGAGGTGGGTGAGGTTGGGACAGGCGCGGGTGATGGCAAGAAGTTCTTGCAAAATGAACCCCTCGGAGGAGATGGTGAGAAGATTGAGGCGGGAGAAGGAAGCGGCGACAAGAAGCCCTAATTAGTCTCGATTTATTCCTATCTCAAACTCCATTCTCAATCACCGGAACTCATCGTCAACATCACCGGCGGTCACTTGTTTTTGTTCTCGTGCACTTTGCTGCAGTTAAAACGGCCAAACTAGCGCCTCAAAGCATCCCCGCCGCCACTGAATTTGGAGAGGAGTCAAGGGGCGATTGGCCCCATGGCGAAAGCAGGGAAAGGTCGAGGTGGGTGACAGCCCTGAAGCTGGTGGGAATGAGGAAGAGGTCGTGAACCCTTGACTCACAGGGTGATGGAGGTGCGCGACGACCGCTCCAGAAATAACCATTTCCGGAATACCAGCGACATGGCGTTTCGGGTCCGAGTGTCGATCACCAGGGCGAAGATGTTGGACAGTATCACGTCCGGCAAGTCATGGAAGCGGATGTTTCCGGCGGCCATTTTCAGGTGGATTCTCGACGACGATGTCGAGATCAGGCACACATTACATAACCAGAACTCAGAAAACAGAGAAAAAGGGAAGGAAGAAGTTCGTGTGTGTGACGTGGCGCGTCTGAAAAGTCATGGAAGTGGATGCGAGCTCGCATGCTTCAGTCTTTTACACGATTTGGTGACGCGTGGCGCGTTCTCCCAATGCGCGAACGGTGCCCTGATTAAAGATGCCTGGACAGAAGCCGAGCTCTTGATAGATTCGGTCCCGGAACCAATTAGAGAAATCATGGACCCAGACCCTATAATTTTGGACCCAGAAGTAAACCGATCAAGAAAGCTGTGAAGAGAAAAAAACCGATGTAGTTCAACCGGCAGCCGGACGGCGAGAGATGAATGATGGACTATATGCAGTTCAGCAGTTGCAAATCAGTGATCAACTCAGCAGATGTAGCCAGAGTTGACTCTTGACGGACGGTCGGATGAACGGTTGCCGGTCGGAAGAATGAGAAGAGAAACTGAGAAAGACTCGTGTCTGTAACTTCTATTTTCTGGTTTGTGTGATTTGCCTCCAGCCTCCACTCTCCAAAACAGCAATACTGTCTTTTGAATGAGAAGAGAAATTGAGAAAGATTTCAGTTCAGAGACGAAAAGGAATTGTCCCATCAGGACATGTTCTAGAACCACAGTCGGTCCAATCTGTATGGGTCCATCGAGTCTGACCCGATTCATTGATAGCCCTAGCGGTCTAGGGCTCTGTAGGGCGCAAATATGAATTCCTAAATAACCCGATTTCTTTGAAGCAATTAAAAATTGAAGAAACAACTTTTAAAGATCCCCGAAAGAATGAAAAACCAGAGGTCCCAGATCGCGATCCGTGTACTCTGAAATAAGACAATCCTGATCGTTTCTTGCATTCTAAATCCAACGTTCATAATATACTCGCGCCACTTTTCCGAAAATTTAAAAAATTTCACTCCTTGCCAGGTTACCTATAAATATTACCAGGCTCCAGGCAATCATACTCGGCCCCAGTCGAGCCCAAACCATTCTTCCGTCATCGGTTGCACCTCGCCCAGAAAAGGAAACCCTAATTCATTTTATCCCTTCATTCTTGGAAATGGCAAGAACTAAGCAAACTGCCAGGAAATCCACCGGAGGAAAGGCCCCAAGGAAGCAACTCGCGACGAAGGCCGCTCGCAAGTCTGCTCCGGCGACTGGAGGAGTGAAGAAGCCCCACAGGTTCAGGCCTGGAACGGTGGCTCTTAGGGAAATCAGGAAGTACCAGAAGAGCACTGAGTTTTTGATTCGAAAGCTTCCTTTTCAGAGGCTTGTTCGTGAGATTGCTCAGGACTTTAAGACGGATTTGAGGTTCCAAAGCAGCGCCGTGTCTGCTTTGCAGGAGGCAGCTGAGGCTTATCTGGTTGGCTTGTTTGAGGATACAAACCTATGTGCCATCCACGCTAAGAGGGTTACTATTATGCCCAAAGATATTCAATTGGCTCGGAGGATCAGAGGGGAAAGAGCTTGATTTTGTTCAATTTCTCTCTTTTATTTCCTTTACCATCTGGGTTTATATGTATCTCTCCAAAAGGCTTTAACTACTTGTTTAGATTTGTGTGATACTCTAGAACGAAGAATACAAGGACTATTAGCAAATTACAGAATTAAAAATATTGTTCAGTGTATTTAGTTGTCGAAGTGATGCTCTTCAAAATGTTTAATCCATTAGTCATGGTTTGCTTGGTTATTCTCAATTTTTCTGATGTTGCAATTTGCAAAGGATTAAATTTGAAATAATTCTTATGCATTATTTTTTGGGCAATTAGAGGAGTTGCTTTCATTGAAATCAAGATCCAATGCAGACAGCGGAACCCATAAACTGCAGCTTCCTTATAACACTCTTAGCCAAGGAATTACGGCTACTAAAAACATGTTTAGAAATACAAGCTTCAAATTGGCTCATTCCCCTCTGATCCTCCGAGCCAGAGTGAAGGGTTTTCAGGTATAGCTGAATCGTGTAAATGACATCCTTCAAGGTTAAGATTCAAAAACAATCCGCACCTGATCAAAACTAGCCTCAACATTTCCTAGACTCTTTGACCCAGTTTCGGTAAATGGCAGTAAGTAATTTGATCAGTGCAAGAATTGACCAATTTATTTATGTTTGTCTTTTAGTATTTAATAATCTTGGGTGCATCAATTACCTGGACAACAAATATCAACTCCATTCAGTATTGGTAAATGTAGTTACTAATAGAAACAAGGGTACAATTACCTGAATAAATATCTCCAAAAATAATAATTATTACCTGAATCTCAAAAGCAGAAATTTATCCAAATGGGGCTAATTAATCTATGCAGGCGCGTTGTACTGGTTATAATGTTATATGTGTTTCTTATTTCTTGTGAGTAATGTCTTTTTCGATGATACGGAGGATAAAGATAAAGACAATAAAAAAAAAAGATAAAGAGGATAAAGAGACGAATCTTTTTTTTAAGGGAAAAAATAATAAATAAAGAGAAATTTTTTAAGGGGGTGTTTTTTTTTTTTAGATTTTGAGAGAGGGGAAAGTTAGTTAATGAGATTTTGGTTTTCATTGTCCAAAAATCTCATGTTCTTTTTTTAAATTTATGTGGGGATTTGAGAAAGTTTATTTTTCTAGGTATATCCATCTCTTAGGTGGATAAATAATTTTCGCACCTAGGGGGAAATTGCCCACACTTGAATGGGATAATGAGAACATTTATTATGTTTGACCCATTTTTCTATATTTCTAAATATTCCGGTCATTATTCCACTCAAAACCCATTTTGCATCTTCCTTACAGTACTTTCAAACAGTACAATGACAGAATGATTGGCCGTTTAATCATAAAAATATGTTAATAAGAATGATTGGCCATTTAAGGGCAGTTTAATCATGAAAATTGCATTTGTTATGATGTAGACGACTTCCGTCACTGTACAGTGCTCTAACGGATGTTGAGAAGTTAGATTAGTGTAGGAGAAATGCGAAAAGTCATTTTATTGATTTTTTAATTTAATTTTCTAAAGTACTTATTGACTGTGCTGTGTTTCATCAAAACCATAGAATCTATGAAATCATTGGCTGAGAGAACACATCAAATTGGTTTTTTAATTAAAACAGTGGTGTTTCATGGGGAGGGTTTCGCAATTCGCAACTACCACCGGGTAAGTTCTTACCTTCTCGGTTCCTAAGGCCTGCAAATTCAGAAGCGACCACCGGCCGGCTTATATAATCACCTGGTAGAGTTCTGTTAATGGGCATAGCCAACTTCTGAGGCAGACTTCTTGGTTTTGATCAGAATGGGTACTCCCCAGCAGCAGGCAAACGACTCTACCCCGAAGCATTCATTTTTCAGGATGCCTTCGGTTTTGAAGAAGTTTCTGAAGGTTCTCTACAGAGACTACACTCACGAGACTCGGAATGTGTTATTGGTGGTGGCAGCGCTGATCGCAACCGTGAGCTTCCAAGCCGGAGTCAACCCTCCCGGAGGTGTTTGGCAGGATGACGACGGCGGCCACAAGGCAGGAAGATCCATCTATGCTGATCATCCGGTCGCCTTCTCTCTGTTCTTGACCGCTAACACGTTGGGTCTGTCTGCGTCCATCAACATCATTGCCTATCTCACTTATGGATTCCCTCTGTACATGGAGGTTCTTATCGCTATATACTCCATGATCGGTACTTATGCCTCTGCAGTAGTTGCAGTCACACCCAAGGGATCGGTCAAGTTTCGCTACATCTTGATCGCGGCTGCGATACCTTACGCTCTACGGTTTGGAAAGCAGCAGTGGTTCTTCAAGGAGGACACGACAAAGAACTTACAGAAAGGTCCAGAACACTGCTCAGATCATCGGCCAGCAGAGCCAAGCGGCCCAAGCGAGTGTGAAAACGGTAAGGTGGTTAAGGAAGTTCCTACCAGCAACAATAACCCGGAAAGTGCTTAACTTTGATGTCTAGTTGAGCTGCTGTTGGGTTCCGGTCTAACTCTTTCTCTTTCTCTGGGCTTTAATTACAGTTTGAACGTTTGATTTTTCTTTTGTAATTCGTCCCTTTTTAGTGTAATCAGCCTGGTTTGTGCCCATAGAAACAAGGGGAAATATATTTAAAAATTACTGCTTTTTCATTATTAATGAACAAGAAAATCTGAAACATTGCTTTACGAGAGAGAGAGAGATGCTCAAAGCCGAATTGCCATTAAATTCAAACTGAAGCAAAACTGGTTCTTGGGTGGAGAACCCAACTAACCAATTTGGTTGGAGCTTGAATTGCAATCTAATATTCTAATCAAAGCATTCAACATGCATTCGGTTAAAGAAATATATTAATTAGGAGAGCTATTTTGTGAACAAGATCGATTAATAAAACAAAAGTTCACAGAGAGAAAGAAGATTTATCCTTTATTCAGAATCGATGTTTCAACTTGTGTCAGACCAGGGTGGTCGCAATTGCAATGCATCGGTGCGTGGGGTGTCTCTATGTCTATGTTACTACTTCCAAGTTCCAACATAACAAACCCCTTACATGTTTAACCTTGAACCATCAGTGTGGCTTTATCGCCCAGCCATGTGAATTAGGATCAGTCCTGTCGCCCTTAGAAACGCGAAAGTGTTATATTACCTACATAAATAAATAAATAAAGGATAAATTGCATATTAGTAATTTGGGATTAGTGTCATGCCCAAACATTATACTATCAAAATTAAATAAATAAATTACATATTAATACTTTATACTGTCAGAGTAACTTTAAAACATGCTATTGTAATACTTGAACGAGATTGGCTTCAATCAGTGTAAGATCTGTACAGCCTTGCAATGGGAACATCTCCCTACTTTTATGTTTTATTTCATGAGAGGATATTCCCATTACAAGGTTATAAAAGTTGTTGGAACGTACTGTTCACTGAGTTGAACTCCACCAATTGAGTGGTTGCCTTGACTGGGTAGTCCCAACAGATATGTGGATGCAACTATTACCACTTACCTCAATGAGTTGTTAATATATTATGTTAAATACCCAAAAAATAAATAAAAAAAAATAGTATTACTTAGGGCATGTTCGTTTGCTCTGAAGTATGACATCTGAAAATGCAATAATTACATTAAGAAATATATTGGTATTGGTAAAATTTTCTTTCCTCTGAATTCTAAATTCTGAAAATTACCAAATATCTATTTTAACCCCATATATTAATGTTTTTGTTTGTCTTTTTGAGGGCATCATTAAAAAACAAAAAATTGTATGATTACACTTTAAGAGATAAAAGATAAGAGGAAACGAACAACCATTTTTCTTTTATAATTAAAAAATTTCTCTTAAGAGATAAGAGTTAAGAGGAAACGAAAGACCCTTAACCTATACATGATACTAACATAATGTGTCATTAACCTATAAACCCCATATGACTAATACATCCTAGAGATTATTTTTTATATTTTATTTTGAAATTTTTCAAAATGATGACATTATAGATTCACCGGGTGATAGGGCCAGGTCTAGCGTGTATTTTCGTAAAGATATAAGCAATATGTCATTGATATATGCTAGCTTCAGTGTTGTCCATTTTTTGGTTAGGCGTCAATTCATTTTGGATTTTGGTCACTAAGCCATGGATCAGAATGGTTCAATTTCAAAGTTAAACCGCTCAGATAGCTCAAATGACAAATATAAAATATTACTCTCTTCTTTATACTGAAGCCCAGGTATTGGTGGAACAATTCAAATTAACAATTCTCTCATATTTATCCTAAATTATTGTAATACAAGATTACAACTCTACAGAAAGGTCATGCCTTCGTATGACGTCACTAGAAGGTGATCGATGACTTGGTCCTCAGTCTCACACTGCCAGATTACCATTTCAACCAATTCTAACAGACAAATTCAACGTTTGAAAGAGTCAAGGAAATATATAGAAGTAGCAATTGGGGGTATTACTTTTATATTATATTATGATAAAAGAAATAATCTCATTGATTTGAATTTTTCCATTAAGGGTCCATTTGGTTCGCAGTTAGAATTGGAATTGGAATGATTCATTCTCATAATCTGTTTGATTCATCAGACAGAAATGGGAATGGAAATTGAAATCAACAGGAATAGAATTATTCATTCCCATGAGAGGGGCAGGGAATAGTCATTCTCTCAAATAGGAGAATACCATTCCAATAGAAATAAAAATGAGATTCCGATTTCATCCAACCAAACAGTTGAAATCAGAATAGCCCATTCTAATTCCGATTCCAAACCCCTATTCTCATAAACCAAATGGGGCCTAACTATTCTAAATAACCAGTTTTTAGTTATACATGAAAAGTAATGATCACCAGTCAAGGTTCCAACTAGACAGAATCTATATAGTTGAGACTGCTCTTACTTATAACCATTGTAAATAAGCAAAGAGGGAGTAATCCGGGGTCCGACTTGGTTAGGAACTTCAGTGGTTTGCATGGCCTTAACCATGAATAAATTTCAACTCGATGGGCGTATCGTGTATGTTAAATGCAGATGGATGAAACTGGGCACAACTTAATGTTAATTGTTATGAACAAAATCTGCTGCAAACAATTTATCATTGCTCCAGAGAAACTTCAACAAACAAGACTTCTGAAATCTCACTAAAGCTTATTGATGGTGTGCAATCCGGCTGGTCCTATCTGTCAATGACCTTGCCTCTGAACGGAGCTACAGGGAGCCTGAAACGGAGAAGATGAGGAAGCTCTGGG